GGGTTGTGGCAGACTGGTTTCGGTTTAATGAGAAGAAAAAAAAAAAAATGTGGGGGGAAATGCAGCTGCTCGCCACGCGGCAGTGAGGTCAGCGTGAGGTGCTTTTCGCGGGGGAACTCGCTCAGCGAAAGGTCACAGCGGCAGGGTTTTTCGCTCGGGGTCCCCAGCCCGCGCGTCCCCCCGCCTCGGCTGACACGCCAGGGGCTGCCGGTGCCCTCCCCGGGCTCACGACGAGGCGGCGTGAGGGCTTCGGGGCTTTACTGCCTCCCGCGCCGGCAGGGCAGGGAAGGTCTCGTTCTCACCGCGCGGGGAATTCACCCGGCGCCGGGGAAATCCTCTCCGGTCAGAACCAGGCGCGACCAGTCTAGGGCTACCCCCGACGGAGCAGCCAAGGTGTCTCTCCCTCTAATCCCGGCTGCGAGGACGGTGCAGGAGCGCAGGGGGTCGGAACAGGGAGGCAAATCAAGGCAGCTCGCCGTGGCCTGATGCCGCACCGCAGGCTGAGCTGGCTGCAGGCGAGCTCAGGGAAGCACCGAGCCCTTGGTGTGGGGCCGCGTGCCGCTCAGGCGCCCATCGAGGCGAGATGCTCCCCGCAGGGCCAGTGCGAGTGACTCTGTGGGGACTCCCACGGGGGCCGGGGTGCTGGGGACGAGGCACATCCCCGTGCACGTGTCAGCACCGGGCAGGGCACGGCGCAGCCCCCCGGGACGGGCGCTGCTGCGCGTCCGCGCTGGCACCGCTTGACTCACTCTGCCGCAACGTCCCTTGTTCCCAGCACAGCTGCGCTCATCTGGGAAAGCGAGTGTGAAAACCTCTACATTGCTGAAGTTCTTGGCTGGCTGACGTAATTCGGCGAAGAAAAACCCCTCTCCGTTTCCTGAATGAACCCTGACCCCGGCGGCAGCGCCGAGGGCAGGACGTGCTGTTCCCAGAGGCAGGAAACCATCAGCAACGCCCTGAAGCGCCAGCCGTGGGACGCAGCCCAGGGGCCGCTCCGAATTCGCCCACCGTTGCAACACCCCGGTTGCCACCGCGCAGCCAGCGGAGCGAGTCTCGCAACACAGAGCAACGCGCCTCATCAGCGTTCCGCTTCCACGTCCCAAAACCGCTCTCTCCCAGGCCTCCCGGGTGGTCGGGGCCAAGGGCCTTGCGGTGACAGGAGGCACCGACCGACTGCGCGGAGGGGAAACCCCCTGCGCTCTCGGGGCGCCCGATTTCTGAGCAACGCCCGGATCACCCGCGAGCTGGAACCCAGCCGCTCCCCCCGCGTTTTGCCACGAGGAGGACCTGCAAAAGCACCGCCAAGGATTTCCAGCTCCCGTCCCCCCTCCCGCGCCCCTTATTTCAGCAGTGACGAGAGCCAGAGGTTCGGGTTTTCCCGCCTTTACTGCAGAACCCTTCGGGTGATTCGGGCGCAGGGCTGAGGGGCTCCATCGCCTCCCGGCTGGAAGAGCCCGGACGCTGCTGCCCTTCACAGGCAGAGCTTCCCTCGCACCCGCGGCCTTACGCAGGTTTCCCGCGGAACGGACGCAACCGGCTGAGCTTTTCCGTCCAGCGGCCGAAGCGCTGCGCCCGCTGTGACCGGCACCGGAGCGGCCGCGCACCGCCGCCCCCCCCCCCCCCCCGCCGCGCC